CGCAAAGAGTGGATGGTACTTACATCAGTATTATCAATGCGGTATTTGCAATTTGGGCACTCCATCCATGCAAGCAATTCCTCAATCTTGCAAAGCGAGGGATGAATTATCATGGTAGCAATTGTCTTGGCAGTAACGATCAATGACCTGAAGAATCTGTGAGATAACAAATTCAATTAATTATACATGATACAGATCCCATTTGTTTCAACAAAACACTATCTATCTTTTTCTAGATTCACAAATGTAGCAACTAAGCTAAATGGAAATGTATGAAAGAATTTTTACACAGACAGTCATCTATATGAATTCTAGGTTCAGTCAGAGGATATTAACTGCCATGAACTTAAAGCCAACTATTCAAGAACAGTCACTGCTCACTAACTCGGAAAAATCGTAGGAATGCAGATAATTAATTATGTACTAGTAAATAGTAATTCTCAATAAATTTGAGAGATAAATGATTATTTCCAGACTTGCATTGCTATTTTCAACGTATATTAAGCCAAAGACAGATATAGATTACTGAACTCTGTTTCAGAAGAAAGATGAGACTAATGCAGATTGCAGAGCATGCCCAGGCGCAGAAACCAATGATTTAAACAACATGTGGAATCATGGTCAGGCGCAGAAAGCCACGAACAGTTTCCAGCAAGAAGCACTGGAAGCTGGAATTTTACCACGGCGCTCTGTTCTTAAACCTGCAGCTGTCATTTGTGTGCCACTACAAGCAAGCTGAGGCTAAACTGAAGGAGTTTCCAACGAGGTGTGATGCAACTCGACGATCCACAGCACAAAATCTGCGATCTCTGCTCTGCTCTGTCACAGTCTGACAGACAGCTGCGACCGCGAGATGAGAGCAGTCTCCACTAAACAGAACAGAGCAAAACGGAACGGAACCCTTCTCTGCTTCCTCCTCCACCACCACCTCAAGCAGATCGATCGTGAAACCCCTGCTCCACCGCCGCTGCAACGACGAGCAGAACCGGGCCGGGTTCGCGACGGCGGCGCGGAGGCGCTACCCTTCTCTGCTTCTCTGCCTCCTCCAGGGCTCCACCATCACCTCAGCAGACCACGAAACCCCTGCACTGCCGCTGCAACAACGAGTAAAGCCGGGCCGGATTCACGCCGGCGGTGCGAAGCCTCACACTCCTCTCTTTTTTCGGGAACTCCTCTGCTTCCTTCGGGGGGAAGGCTCTGAATCACGTCAGCGGCGCCCTCGCACCGATCTTGCTCCCCGACGATCTCGCACTCATCGCCCCGTCAGACCGACATCTCCTCTCCCACGTCATCACCATCCGATCTTCTCCAAAAACCACCTACCGGAATCCACCGCTCGCTGATCAATCGCGACGCCCCTCCGGATCAAACCGAAACCCAGACCCCAGAAGCAGAAAATGCCACCAGACCAGAGCACGTGAGAAAATAAAACAAAAAGGATCCCGAGCAGCAGAAAAGTAGGAGAGAGACCGAGTCAGAGAGTAAAAACAGAGCACAAGCGCGGGTCACTTACTCTGCCATGGCCGGCCGCCGCGGCTGCGCTGCGACGGGAGGGTTCGGAGGGACCGAGAGCGGAGTGTGGAGCGCAAGGGCATCCGAGGGGAGGGGGGTCGAGGAGGGGGCGGGGCAACTTCTGGGCAAGTGAGGTGGGTGTGTCCCGCCTTAAATAGGCGAGGGGTGAGAAGACGCGGACCCTGCCCACTGGGGCCTGTCCAAAATGTTTTGCCCACCGGAACAAGCAAGCAACGCCCCTGCTGGACGTGTTTCGCTAGGCTTGGGAGCGTTGGGTTGTCTTGTGTCGCTCGGCGGGGTGCAGCCTCGGCTTGCCATGGGTGGTGGGTATCTGCTTACTCTCAGATTCTTTTCTAGGAGAGGTAACACTCTGAGATGTCTTTTGCGCTCGGTACTTTGCAGTATGCACACACCCTAAGAAGAGTTTTATCTCCTGACAAGCAAGGGAAAATAGTTGCACCATGAAAAAAAGAGACTTTGTACAACTCTCTCTCAAAAAAAAAATGCTTGTGCATTAGTATCTGTTTTTTTTAACACCAGCGCATCATTATCTGATGTACAACTCCCTCCATTAAAAAAGGGTGTAATTTTTTTCTCTTGTAGACCGAGGGAGCCGTGGGAAGGGAAGACTTACCCTTTACCCATGTTTAACTGGACGCAATTAACTGTTCTCCTTTGTTCCAGCAATTTTGCCTCACGCATTTCAGTAACCGTCGCTACACGTGGAGGGTAAAGGGGCGGTGGGCGGCGCGGCTGGGTAGTAACATGCGAGTCGTCGCTAGGGGGTAACGTTCGAATTTTTAGGACTGGGGAGTGGGGGCTATTTTCAGCAGTACATAATGATGGGTTGTAACGTGCGAATTTTCAGGATCGGTGAGCGGGAATCAAGAGAGTGGTTATTTTTAGCAACACACAAATGTAATCCTGAAACGGACTCCTAGTGCCATCTTCTTTTGCGTAATTCGTGTGAAATGTTTCCGAGATGCCTCCGCGATTAGTACTTTGTACAACACCGTAAAGAAGAATAGTTTCGAAATGTTTCTAAAATGTTTCAGGACAAGATAGATGATCCTTGGATTTATCCATGGGCCGTGACAACTGACAGTTGTCCAAAGTATTTTTCCCACAACTACAAGCCCCCCCCCCCCCTCACTGAGTCTTTCGAGATGTCCATCTTACCAAGGCCTAATACATCCCCTTTGGATCTATCTCCGAACGTGACACTTCGCTTGGGGACGCCATGTTTCTCAAAGTCGTGGAACATATCTCTATGTCCAGTCATGTGGTCGGTAGACCCACTATCGAATACCCATTCTTTTCGACTGAAAAAATGGCTTTTATGTCCTCTTCACATATTTCACATGGGATTGTCGTCTTCATTTTCATCTTTTGTCTCCTTCAAAATGTTACCTTTAGTAACACAAGATAGAATAGTCATTATGTTCTTAACAGATGGCGCCATACAAGTCATCAACTTGTTGCCTAAGGATGGGATAATCGGCATCAAAATTATTAATGATTGACATGGCATGAGGAAAAATGGCCCTCCATTCATCCAAGGAGTGAGGTTCGTCATCCTTTACCTTAGATTTACCTTTGATTTGAGGATGAGAAGGAGGAACAACTTTCTTGTCATAAAGCTCTTCAAGTTGCTTCCACGCTCCATAAGCATTGTCAAATGAGTAGATTCTCTCCAACACATCGTAACTTATACCTCTCAATATAGCATTGGTAGTTTGGGCATTAAGGTATAACTCATGTTCTTCCCGGGGAGTTAGGTAAAGAGGATCCGACGGAGGCACATAGTCATTCTCAACTAGTTCATTATGTTCAGTCCTTGTTGAGGAAACTTCTCAATCATCATGCATTTCACTAGCATTTCTATTCCTTCAAAGTAAGCACCAACCTAGTGATATCTTCCCTTACTGGACATACTACTCTCCTTAAATTGTGAATCCAATGCAACGGTCAACTAATGAAAGACCTTGTTAAGGAGACCAAATCTCTACCTCATGTAGGGCCACTTAGTATAGTCTAGATGGGATGAATAGACTACAAGCAAATCAAAGGGACTATTTTCTAAATTTTAAGTTTCCTACGCAATTTTATGATTTTCTATTGGTAGCCTATCAATAACCCTACACATGCAAGTCTAATAGAGTATAACAATGGAAGCCAAACACTTTGACAAGTATAAGTAAGAGTAGTTGGAGGAGTGCAACGGTTTGGTAGAAACACTAGTAGAAATTGTATAGGGTAATTGATGACTTTTAGCTCTTTGACATGAATGAAAAATTGTTTCAACATCATGCTCTCCAACACATGGGAGCTTATTTTTCCTAAGAAATCGTTCAACTAAAGAAAAAGTTGCATGTCCTAGTCGATCATGCCAACGTGTCGGATATAATTTGGTGGCACCAAAAGCTTGTCTATTGAATCTTCTAATCTTCAAAATCAATGGGTAAAGCCCGCAAAGACATCTACCTCGCCATAGGACTTTCTTCGTTACCCGGCCCTTTGTAAAAAATAGAAAGGGCAAAACTGAAGGAAGACATGACTATTAATGGAAATACGATGAATGGAAAGAAGATTTTTGGAGACACTAGGAATATGCAAGATTTTTCTACGATCAATTTTTCGACGATGGTTTTTTTACAATTGAGTGACCAACGTGACAAATCTTCATACCTTCTCCACTAGCACTGTTGATGTGGTCTTGGCCATGGTACTTTCCCCGCATGGTCACCTTCTCGACCTCGCTGGTGATGCGGTTTATAGCACCACTATGAACGTACTAGTTCGTGTCCATTCCGTACGATCCTTTAGCTGCTCCGACCACCTTCTCATCTTGTGGCGAATCATCATCATCATCAAATCTATACCAGCAATCCCTAGCCGAGTGGCCAAGTTTGTCATAGATCTGACACTTGATGGCATCAGGCTGTGATTTTTTGGAGGTGCGACAGCCCTTGTTGTTCTTGTTGTTGTTGTAGGAGGGATGACCGCCACTGCCATTGTTGCCGCGAGGATTGGTGTTGCTGTTGTCATTCCCGCCGGTGTTGTTGCGTGGCAGTCCACGGTGACGAGATCCAGCGCCACGACCACGCATGGCCGCATTAGCAGAAGACTTGAAACCGCCGCTGGAGTGTGCTCCTTAGTAAAGTCACCCTCTGATCAAAGTTGCTCATCTGAGCAAAATAATCATCGAGGGTGACCGTTTTGGTCCGGGCGTCGAGCGTGGAGACGAGGGGCTAGTAATCCATGTCGAGGCCGACGATGATGTGCGAGATTATCTTTGGGTTGGGAGAGTTGGGTTGTCTTGTGTTACTCGACGGGATGCAGCCTCGGCTTGCCATGGGTGGTGGGTATCTGCTTGCTCTCAGGTTCTTTTCTAGGAAAGGTAACTTTCTGAGATGTCTTTGCATTCGGTACTTCACAGATTGCACACACCCTAAGAAGAGCTTTTATCTCTTGGCAAACAAGGGAAAATAGTTGCACCATGAAATAAAAACGAGACTTTGTACAACTCTCTTTCAAAAAAATTGCTTATGCACCAGTATCTGTTTTTTTAACACCAGCGCATCATTATTTGATGTACAACTCCCTCCATTAAAAAAAGGTGTAATTTTTTTCTCTTCTAGACCGAGGGAGCTGTGGGAAGGGAAGACTTACCCTTTACCCGTGTGTAAATGGACGCAATTAACCGCTCTCCTCGGTTCCAGCAATTTTATCTCATGCATTTCAGCAAGCGTCGCTACACGTGGAGGGTGAAGGGGCGGTGGGCAGCGCGACTGGGTAGTAACATGCGAGTCGTTGCTAGGGGTAAGGTTCGAATTTTTAGGGACTGGGAAGTGGGGGCTATTTTCAGCAATACATAATGATGGGTGGTAACATGCGAATTTTCAGGAATGGTGGGCGGGAAAAAGGGAGAGGGGCTATTTTTAGCAATACGCAAATGAAATCCTGAAACTGACTCTTAGCGCCCTTGTTTGCAGAACTCGTGTGAAACGTTTCCGAGATGCCTCCATGATTAGTACTTTGTACAACACTGTAAAAAAGAATAGTTCCTAACACGAAATGTTTCATGACAAGAGAGATGATCCATGGATTTATCCGTGGACCGTGACAACTGACCCTTGTCCAAAGTGTTTTCCACACAGCTACACTTTTCTTTTCCCATTCTTTTCCCCCCAGAAAAATAGCTTTTACGTCCTCTTCACATATTACACTTGGGATTATCATCTTCACTTCATCTTTCACATTCATCTTTTGTATCCTTCAAAAGGTTAGCTTCAATAACACAAGATAGAATAGTCATTATGTCCTTGACATCACCCTTGTTGCGGATGGTGCCATACAAGTCATCAAGTTGTTGCCTGAGGTTGGGATCATCAACATCAAAATTCTTAATGATTGACATGGCCATCAATGTTGGGATCTACGGTATGATGCGCTGACTGCAAATTAAAATTTTCCTACGCGCAGAACAACCAAGAACATGCTATGTGAGATGGATCACATATCGTTACCACTAGAAGCGCAGTGCCATGCAACAGAAGTAGAGTTGGGGTAGCATGTCCTGGAGTCATTTCCTCCTCGTTGATCTCCCATGTAGCTGATCGGATCCCACAAACAGGTTCACCGGAGCACCGCAGGTGCATCGCCTCTAATGGTATCTGCGCGTGTAGGAGGAACGTCGTGTGGAAGACTACTAGGTCCGATCACACAACCGACAGCGAGTGGAGGTGTCTAGTTGCAACACATGCAAAGCCCTAGTGATGGCGCCGAAGCAATCAACAGATTAGTGAGCCACACCCCCACTATGTATAGGCATCCGTCGCGGGTTCAACACTTGGGCCTCACACGGGTCCTAAAGCCCAAAGTCTGTTTGGCCTAGATCCGAGTCCGAGTAGGATTACATCTGACTCGTTGATTCAGATCATGCCTCACAGGTTCCTTCCCTTAAGCGCGCGACCCCTTAGTTTCTCGTTCACTTGGTCGTGGGTCAA